AAATACAACCTCAAAACATTAGGATGAATTTTACTTACTCATTAAGCAAACATTTACAGAAATTAGTGTTGTTAAGTTGGAAAACTGCACTGAATTGTGGGTGTCCCTTTTATGAGGTTTGCTATTTATCATTAAATGCAATTATTATGTGCCACAGAATGTGAAATGATAGATTATGTGTATTCACAGCAGAAAAGTTCTGTTATTTATGAACATCTGACGGTTAAAGAATTCCTATCATTAATTTTCCATTGGATGACGTAGTTTTTTAAACCAGGCTATGCAATTAAAGTAGCTGCTTGGAATTACATATTGACTTTCTATTGGTTATGAGTCTCCATTAGCTGTGTTGTCAGCCCAGAAGCAGGAGATGTTTCTTGTCACTAATCAACTAAGAGAAAAAAGAAATGAATGGAGAAATAAATACTCGACATACGCAGTTAATAATTAGCACACATGGTAGGCTCTACTTCATAGAATTTAAAAAGTACCTGAAGAAAAAGATGAAGGGAAAATGGGAATTGCGGTGTCATTAACTTCAACATTTCATATCCTGTCGCAATACGACTATCTTCATAACATTATATTATATATAACATTACCATCATGCAGCTGCCAAGCTCTTCTGAAGCATTTTGAAAACTTTTTCATACATACCGTAGTTCTTCTAGCATAAGATATCATAAAATGCTCATGGACCTGCAGCTTGATGATTCTATACTGTGTTCTACAATTTCTCATCAGAGTTATCTTTAATTTTGGGGGGGTGTTGGCATGAACAGTAAGACACAGAATCAAACAATTGGGTTGCAATAATGAAGAGGAAAGAATGAGAACAAAATTTTCAAATACAACTGATATTTTTCCATAAAAACCTTACCTGCAGAAAAATAAAAACATTACTTCATTCATACATACGTTTGTTGTTTTATACATTTTTCCATAGCCGGTACACCATTTAATAATATTGCTTTTTAATATTTTTATTTTGCTTTTAAAAGTTTGTAAAGTTGGAAATTAGCATCTTTGTAAGTTTTTTTTCTTTCCCTGAGGCATTTTCTCTGTGCTAATCTTTATTCAAGACAGAATGATCATGTGGTTGCTGAGAGATGTTAGAGAAGCCTTATTAACTGAAAAGTATTACCAACACTGACCAGAGATTACACTTTCTTTATCCTGGTTGATGGAGAGTTAATGACTCAGAAAGGTGACAATTTGTCATCCAAATACCAGCTGCTTACTGACAGAATTATAATTGTTTAAGAGCTTTCCTAAAAGATCCCCTAATGAGCTGCTCTTTTTATTAAGTGCACTTTTCATTTCACACAATTTCCTACTCTGAAAGTGGCACATGATTTTCCTGTCATTATTTATTCATTTATTTAAGCAGGCATATTCAGAAATGAATAATGGACTTTACATACGTAGCGTATTTTCCTTTAGTGCAACATATTATCTCAAGGTTAAATTTTCAGGTTGGTTTCCAGAGTACTTACTCTCCAATATTTATTTAAACAAAAACTATATATCGATCAAATAAAGAAATCAAGCTTTCTTTCGCCAAGAGGTGTCTAACAAACTCAGATTCAGGGGCAAAAGCGTGGCAATTTATTATTTTAAATGAGACTGAAATCTCTTTCGCAGTGTTTTCTTATCTCTGAACTTCTGAGTAAATGCTTAAGACCATGAACTTGTTAGACATTGTTAAAGGAGTCTACTGCTTTCTGTCATTTGACTGCCATAGAAAGAGACATTTTATGTCATATTCAGCACAATATGCTGCTGCCATCATGGTTGACTGTAGTTATGGTGTTGGCTGGGAGATGTGCTGTGTTGGATCCTTGCTAAATGCAAAGATTGGCATTTAGAGGAAAAAGATCCTATTTGGTCTCATCTGACTGCTGTACAACACAGTTTGTCCATTTTGTGTGTGTTATATGTTAAATAAGTTATTCTATTATGTTTTTCAGTTCTGTGGTACAAAGTGTTATGCTGCATGAAATAATAATCTGTTATGACAGTCTTTCTGTCCAACAAAAAGCCAAGATGTTCAGGCTCCTGAGGATGTGTTCTAAGATAGTGGGGCAGCCACGTGAGCAGAGCTCTCGCACTGCTTACAGTAGGAGTGTGTTGAGACTAGTTGTCATTAACATCTCTGATCCCTCACACATTCTGCATTAAGAATGTCAGCTCAAGCCTCAGACAGACATTTTAGAGTCCCTCAATGCAGATGAAACAAAATGAGGAATTTCTTTATCCCAATTCAATCAAACTACTCAACAGATGAGCTCACAATAAAGAAGTATTGGTTTATAGGCAGGAGCAATTAGTGATCATGTGCAAAAATGAAGGGATATGTGCAGCTACTGTATAAGGGCTTAGGGTGATTGTGGGAAAGTAAAAGTGCCCATTACCTGTAAAGAGCTTTGAGTGGAGTGTCCAGAAAAGTTCTATATAAGTGTAAGTTTATTATTATTATTATTTTATTATTTATTTTATTTTATTATTATTGTTGTTGTTGTTGTTGTTGTATCATATCATATCAAGTTTCGTACAACTTGATGAGGACTAGGTGAAGGTCAAGTTTACCTAAGTACCATAAAGCCATTAACAATTAAGAGGGTGTCCTTACTTTTTCACCATGTTTTATTTACATTTGTCTTTTTTATTTTAAATGTGTGGAGTAGGTTCTGCATATGACTTGCTTTTTCAAAGTGTCATGACTGCAAGCTTTAAAGCAACAAATTGGTAAAATTGTACAGAGGTCTGAATTCTTTTCTAAGGAACTGTAGTGACTGCATGACCCCCAGTTAATCCTGGGACAATGAGAAGTTCCATTTTAGGTCTATCTATTTATGTAAATATGAATTATTGGAATTTGAATATTAATAAGCTCATCTCCGAGGCAAGAGAAATAGGTGTATATACTGTATGTCACATATTTGGAACATCATTCAGACTGTAGTAGTTCAGGTGGGTAGCTGCATCAGCATGCGTAGGCTGCAAAGGAACAAGTAATAGGTTTATTCCATGCTGAATAAAAGAAGAAAGAGAACACAACGTTTCAGCCGTGGAGCCTTCTTCAGGTGTCACCTGAAGAAGGCTCCGTGGCCGAAACGTTGTGTTCTCTTTCTTCTTTTTTTCAGCATAGAATACACCTATTACTTGATCATTCAGACTGGATAAGCAAAGAGTGTGGAATCTTAAAAGATATTCCATGTAAGAATATGTCCATTTCACTGGTCAAATTAGCAATGCCCATCTGACATGCCCTAACATGATTGGAACAGCTGTCTGCGGCTGCTAACTTTACAAACTCAAAGCACAATGCTTATTTTCAAAGTGGTGAAATAATGATGATTCATAAATTAAATTAATAAATTAATTTGATTTGTAGTAAATGCTTGCATTTAAACACAGCATAACTCTAAAAGAAATCACCATGCAAGACAAGAAAATCAGGAACAAAATCTGTAAGAGAGAAAGTAAGAAAGATAATTGTTTGCAGGAGCAGGACAGTAGAAATGTGACTGACGTTTATGGCAGAATTTTGGAATATATTTCCACTGGAACTGGAAAAATATAGGCTTAGGGTTCATGATGATGAGTATATTACCTCAATTTCCCTTTGGGATCAATAAAGTCTTATCTATCTATTTATCTATCTATAAAGTGACTAATCTCAAGCTGTATATAAAATATACAAAAGGTATTAGGGAGATATGCTTTATTAGAGTTTTATGAAGTCTTCAGACTTGCACAGCTAAAGGCAACTACCCTCAACCTACAGAAAGAGAAGGAAATGATAAGAGTATCTGAGGGCTGAGGAATGGCTCAGGAGCTGGGAAAGAGCAGAGAACCAATGTAATGCGAGTGCAGAATGAGTTTAATGTGCTGGAGGTAGCCAGTCTGGATCCAGAATACAGAATGATCATGTGTACCACTGCACTCCTGACATCCCTGGCTGGCTTCTTGCCATCAGCTCATACCATTGGTGTGACACCTGCGAATCTGAACATTACAAACTCATAATACAGCAGATGGTGACCTGTTGGCTTGCAATGCTCTCCAGACCATCAATTGGATACATTGTTCTTGGTTATTCAAAACATGGTTCCAAACTAGTAAAAAGAAAAGAGGAAAAATGAAAAAAAACATGGTTCTAACTCTAACTAAATAGATACTGTAAGTGATATCAGAACTTACTCAAGTCCAGTAGGTGAAAGGGAAATGCCTGCAAGTCATATGTTCCTCTTTTAACAATAGAGCTGCTTAAAAGATTGTTACACTCTCAGCTACAGCATTGTGTATACTGTATGTATGTACTGTAAATGTCTGAGTCCATTAAAAGAAAATAGAATGAAAAGCAATGGAAAGAAAAAGTGCAAATTTCATATCACTGTCGATATCTCATGATTATTTATCATTTCAGTATGACTTTCAGAACTAGTTAAGATAGTAGTGGAATCTAATGTCAAAATTCGACAAGTCAGGCACTTGTGCTGTGAAAGTAGGTGCTGTATTTTTATTATATTAGAAGCGAGTACATTTGAATTACTCCAGCCTTTGTATCAGCATTCAACAATACATTACTACAATTTATTTTGATATGTTCTTACATGTGTCTCTACATGTGTGTCTGTTCTTTGACTACTTGTGAGGCGTCTAACAGAAAAGAAGGTGCTTTGTTCTTTTACTGAATATACTGTGGCAAATTACCACAGAAAGAGTGTCACGAAAAATGAATCCATTCTGTTTATTATACTTACAGTACTGTAATGTGAGATATACTCTATCACCCATAACTGTACCTAATCGTAATGAGGATAACTTGGGGGGGTTAATCTGGATGTATTTTTATAGTTAGAGTATCTGTAGTACTTTCCAGGCTGTAATGTAGCTCTTATTCCAGATATCCTTTTTGATATGAATCATATTTTATTAACTGGGTTCTGTAAATATATACAATATGAGCTTCATAACAAGGAGCCATCAGCACATTGGAGTCTGAAACATATATTTTATTGAAACAATTAAAAATAGTATATCTGCCAGAATCAGATAGCGCTTATCAGGACCTATACATGAACCACAAAGCAGATTTCATACATTCGTAAAACTTCAGAAGACTCTTCTGTTAATTTTAAATTAAATGATTATTAGAATTATTTCAAATCACCATAATAACACTTTATATAGTATTTTATTTACAGTCTGCGGCTCTGAAGAGAGGAGTGATCACTGGAGGCTGGTCAAAGGAGAAAAGGAAAAATCGTGGTGTTGAAAATGTAGTGAGGGAAGTCGCGGTAGCTTGGATCCAGGTTAGCACGATGTGAAAGTTTTCCAGAAGAAATTCTTGCAGCCCGCTTTGCGTTCTCTGGGGGCTAGGGCCGGGTTGGCAGATCTCTCCAGCTCGAGCCTGACTTCATCTTGCTCGGCTGCCCGGGATAGATCGTCGGATTCCAGCGCCTCGTTCTCCGACTGGGCCAGCTCCGACAACAGCTCTGCAAGAGTGTATCTCGCAAGCTCCTTAAAAAAAAAATAAATACAAAAATAACCTATGTTATAATTCTGATCATTGTGATTTCCGAAAACAATAAAAGCTTCGCTCTTATTTAGATTTAACGTGGATTTTCTGAATAAAGCAAAGAAAAAAGTGCAATTATCCACTCGATCCATAGGTTATCAGAATGTTCTGTACCAAGACTCGAAAGTGAAGTTATTTAGAGATTTCTTTTGGTTAAATTGGGAATTCGCAGTCTGAGTTTTTTGGCGCTAAAACCGTTACTAGTATGGGTTATCTGTTGTCTGAAGAAAAGAATCATTTATACAAATATGTTTATTGTGCTATAAAGCACTTCCGTTCAAATGTGTTGCATGGTGTGGTGGTTTATTATAAGGGTAATAAATCAATTTGAATAATTTACTGCGAGCTTTTTTGTAAACGAAACTTTTTAGCATGGTGCCGTTACTCAAATTGCTCCTTGCTGTTATCTTGTATAAAGTATATATATATAAAGATTTTAATCATATCTAAAATAGCAAAAACTGCATGGCTCTATAATTTTTAATTATAATTTTAAAGATAATGTTTCAAATATACATTTTCATGTACTGTAAGTTGAATTTTATTTAAAATGTAATTTTAACAGTAAGACTGTGTGCGAATAGCACAGTTTACTTTAAGAGAAAATACCAGCTGCCGAAGAATGCGTCGTTATTCTGTTACAAATAAAGTGTTATAGTATCAACTAGAATACACTAATCACACAGATGCCAATTCCGTCGCCACACTCATTTCAACAGACGTCTGCGCATTAGTTTGCCGGCGAACTGGACTTAGCACAAACCGGTACACTTAGATAATGACTTTTAAATTTTAATATTTAAAAATAATAGACCTACACCGGTTACTAAACGCATGCTAAGTGCCATAGAAGTGTTAGTGTTATAGTTTCAGCACCATGGAGAGTACAATGAGCTAAACAAACAGCGCTAACGCTGTACGACCCCATAGACAGTTACATGAGCTTCTTTATTTTGATTACTGTTTGGCATTTACAACTATGATTTTCTAAACTATATTACGTTTTGATGCGCAAATACGAAAATCCAAAGAAAAAACTAGGATACAACGACTTTCTGCTAAGGAAAGAACGTCTGAATGGGTTCATGTGTTCCCGTTTTTCTTTTATTCATTTTTGGTTTGTTTTGTTCTTTTATTCGCTAAAATGCACTCAACCCTTTACGCGCACTCTGTCAATATTTTGGCAATAAAATAAATGATCTCTGGTCTCACCTGCTTTCCTGCGGACGCAGCCAGCGATCTCTGGAGAAGTTGCCGGAGTCTCAAGTCTGAAGGTGCGGCGGAGACGCTGCTAACAGCCAAGGCAAGACACAGGAGAGCCAGCGCGCATTGGACGCGAGAGGACAGCATCTTTCCAAGCGAGAGAGAACACGACCGACTGTTGAAATGAGCTCTGTTGGATTGTCTCGGTGCTCAACAAATCGTTTCTTCTTCTGGAGAGAATCGCCAAACCTGCTTTTAAACAATTTGTTTGACGTCAAGCAGAGAGGGGGGTTCCACTCGTCAGTGTTGCGCATGGTCTCTCTTCCTGTCTAATAATGACAAAGTTTTCACAAATGAAGATTTTTTTTTCCTTTAGGACTTTTCGGGACACGTGCGTGTCTGCACTACACCGTAAAACGTGTTCCGCGTGTTCATACAATGTAAAACAATTATAATACGATACAAATACACCTTATCGTTCGTAAATTTAAATATCTGTGATATTTTTCATAGTAGCCATATTAATAAGCATTGAATGACGACAAACTGACCTATATGCTTCGTAATTTCACCATCTACTGGTTTTACAGCAAAAAGCTAATTATTCATCATGCAATGCCTGTGTTTTTAGAATCCATGACTGTGAAGTACAAAGCTGAAAATGACTAAATCAAAGATCTTTAAAGACAATGAGAACCTCTAAAAACGATGTGATGCTTAGAGTGTAATTATTTTACTTCAATTTATTTGTTGAGAATGTTAAACGTACGAATGAAAAATCAGATTTCATACAGATTGACCTTGTTTAAAATTGTTCTCAAAGCAAATTTAAAGATAAAACTTCTAATATAAATATTTCAATACGGTACAGACCTTTTTCACTTAGTGCTGAATATTTTTGTATTGTGTACATATTTAACGTGAATTGTATAACTGCGGAAAAGGTGAAATGTACAGTATACAGATAAAACATTCAAATTCCAAAACCGAGTTTTATTCCTTGCATTGACTTGAAGTCAAACCATAAAAAGTGTTGAATAAAATTGTAAAACAAGTGTTGGAGAAAGAGGATAAGTGAAGCTTTTTTATCTTTTTTAATTGTATATTTTTAATTGTTTCATTTTCAAATGTCCGTAGTTTTTAAGCTTATGTTGTGGCACTGACTTTTCAGTTAATTCATATGTTAGTAATACAAATATTAATACTTCAATAAAAATAACAACAACATCTAATACTTCAATAAAATAACAACAATATTGAGAGGTAATCAGATATTTCTAGTAAATTGGATAAAATAAGAAATAGTGTTGCAGATAAACTGTATCTAAACTGTAGCTCAATTAATTAAACTGCATGGGAACAGTTGAACAGGGGGGATTTTATTGAATTCAAATGAGTGTGTCTTTCCACAATGGTGACGTGGGAACTCCACACACGTTTCTGTGGCAGGTAGGAAACTAACAACAGTTAAATGCATAAGAGTTGCTTCAAAGTAAACACACGCATGTATATAAGAAACAGGAAAACATCACAAAACTACAGTAGTAGCATGTTTGTCTACTTGTTGTGAAACGCACCTGAAATAAGTAAATTGTCTTGACTTGTATAGATCAGTCATTGTCATCTATTAGGACTGTGTGGCACAGATTGTAACCTGAAGTGTGATTCCCTCACTCTGAAAAGAAGAGCTCGGGCTCAGGCAATTTGACTGCGAGAAAATATAATCTCTGGTGACCTAATGTTTCCTCAGCTGTCTGCATGAACCCTTTCAGGAGCACAGAAGCTTTTTACTCTTTTAACTCCATGAATAACTACAATAATGAATGGAAATCTTTTATATCTTTACAATACAACTTTTAATGGTGAGCTAGTTGCCCATTGTACTGCTGTACTGAAAGTTACCATGCACAATCTTCCTGGTAAGATTATTAGTACTTATTGTCATACATTGTTTATTTAGTATTTTGTCTTTCAGTGGGGTCTAATGACCTACGTTACCATATGTTGGATCTAAAATATGGGAATGCATACTGTAGTAATATGCTAATCCTGGGTAGTTATTTGTGTAATATAATCTATGTATGGAAGCATCCCATAGATAGATGAAAAGTCACAAATATGTGCTGTTTAAAATTTGGAAAGGGCTTTTTCTCTTTGTCCATGTAAAAAAACAAAGGAAGAGTTTTTTTTCCTTTAGAAATAAAAGTCAAGAAGAGATAATTTATGTGAAGTCAAGTTAATATTCTTTCAAATAAGAAAGTACTGTATATATCCTTGTAGTTACTTTTCCACATTTCTACTAATGCTTAAAGCTTAGTTTGAACAATTGCTTGTTAATTGTTGTTTGACAAGGTTTTTACTGTTGTTAGAGGAAAACACACTGGGAAAAATAAAAGAACTACAGTACAAGCCAAATTTAAAATAAAAACAAAGGTGAGATGGTCCCCAGTGGATCATCCAGTTTAACATCCAGAGACTCCAGAGATATACTGAGAGGCAATAAGATGCAATAAATGGAAGTTATTAACTGAAGTTTGGGAGGAATAACAAGGACAAGTCAATCCCACCCAGCTCTTCCTTATCACCATCATTACAGACATTTACTGTATACTGTCCACTGTATATTGAATTCAAACATCTCCCTTCACATTTGGGTCAGGCATCCCTCCTCCACCTCATGTCCAGCTTGCAGCTCTCCATTGGATATCTCCTTCTGAATGGGGTTCGTGTCTCCTCATCCTGTGGTCTGGAAAAACTATCTTACCTCCAGTAAAATCCTCAGATATTCATAAAGCATCTAATTCTTTGATGATTGTGTCCCTTGTGAAATAAATAGTGGGATCAATAGTACAGTATTTAATGTCTCCCAGTACAGTTTGAGCTTGACCTGCTCTATGTCATTAAATGATTGTGACTAGGATTCTCAAAGCAACAGTGTACAGACAGCTAAACATTTGGAATTACTGTAGCTGGTCTTAAATCAGGCACGACATCCTCACCTTGGTGGCCTTTGTTCTTGTAGTATTGTTAGTGATGGCTGTATGGGTCTAAGCTAATGGTAATCTCTTTTCATCCCATAGTCAAAAATGTCAGACATTCTGTTTCTTTGAGAACTTCATTTGCTGTAGCCACTCCAGTCTTAAAACTATACAGATGTATGTATGTGATAGCCCTGGGCAGAAGTGGTAACCAATGCCTTCCAGAATGTGACCTATTCCTTACAGAGCTTAATACCGTGTCTTTGTGGCCTGGAATGATGGTTGTTGAAGCAGAACATTTCATTCTCTAGAGACAGCTTTTCTTACAAACAGACTGTCTTCAGTCAAACCAATAGAAACCAGACAATTATCATTACTCAGGGCATAGCTGTATCTTTCACTGTTCTTGCTGATATTAAATTATTGTGTTTTTGAATGATTGTACATGTATATGGTATGCAGATTCTTCCAAACTGAATTTAGGTAATTTTACTTATCAGATACCAAACACTGAGCGTGATATTTTTTGTGAAATCACATGACTTCAGTTCAGTATTTTGTTATTCCAAAGAACAATACTACTCAAACTATCAAACATTTCTACATAGAATTTAGCATAAACAAAGTATTATGTAACAGTATGTGCTATTAGGTAACAGTATGAGCTATTGATGTACTGTATAATATATTTTGATGCATTTTCACGGTGCATTACTATTTAAACTTTTGTTATCCTTGCACCTGTTTTGCAAAGGTGTGAAAGCAAATAGCAATTTCCTTAAGCATAATTACATAGATTTTGAGAAATATCCATCTTATCAGTTTCATTCAAAGTCTTGCTTTATCCCAAATTGATCATTAGCCCGAGGGGTTAAACTATAGGTTCATTAGTATTTAAACAATTCATTGACATATAACATTGATCTTATTAACAGTTAAAAATACTGTATTGCATACCACTTACCTTAAGGATATGGTTCAGGCTATGGTCAGCATTAGGGTTGTGTTGCTGGCATCCAATTAATCTACAGCAGAGGAGGTTATTATCACATTTATGTCACTCTATTAATACTTAATACAGAAAGCCTCTCATCCTGGTGAGGGTCATGGCACCATCCAAACTACATATATAAAACATTCTTGTTCAGTGCAAAGAAGCACGAGACTATGCAGGATTCAGCACTGAAAATATACATTTCCATTTGTTTTCCTCTGATACGTTTCATCTGAGGGAAACATGGTGCAAATTGAAAATGGGGGTATTAGTGAACAAAACACAGAAGAAAAGTAAGAGGACATAACCCACAGGGGCTGATATTGAAGGCTTCGTGTTATGTTTGGTTAAGGCATATGGAAAATAGCGTTTCTTTATTTAATCCTTTTTTATTAGTTTAAAATGTGCCCAAAACAGAACAGAGTGAAACAATTCAATATCCAAATACAGAACAAACATGTATATAAGGGGAGTGGTTATAGAGTGCAACTGTTGCTCTGAGTATTTTTCTATTGTTGGTTTAGTCATCTGGAGGGCATCTTTAATGTAAAGGTTTGAGAGGATTATAGTTAAATTGGTGCATGCCTACTGAATTAAGTTATTTGGACAAGGATGCAGTGGTGCGGTCCATCTGGGATTTCTTTAAATGGGTAAAAGACCTCCTACATGAATCCACTCAACTACCCTCGAACCCTGTAAATGTACAGCACCCCACAATTATACTAAGCCCATATAATTACACGTCGCCCCTTCACTTTTACATATAATCCAATGATTGCAGTCGTCCATAAACCATTACTCCTTTCTTGTAAATATTACCATTGATTGAGTAGTTTGAACACAGGATAAATAATTCTTTCTTTCTCATGTCTGCACTGAGGGACTCTAAAATGTCTGTCTGTAAGCTTGAGTTGAAGCAGAACAAGTGAGAGGTCAGAAAAGATACTAACAGCTAGTCTCAACATACTCTTAGTGTAAGTTGTTGGAAATCTCTGCTTGAGTGGCTTCTCAACTATCTCAGAACACATCCTTAACTTTTGTTGCAAAGAAACATTGTTAATCGGAAGATGTGAGTTGGTAAAGAAGGGAGTTCTGAAATGATGGTCTCACCTTTCAGTTTAGAAATTGCAGGTTTCAGTTGTGGGTTATTGCAAAAAGGAAAAACTGAGTGGGGAGAAGGCCAGTTATCCACTAGTAAGGGAGCTATACTATTTTCCCAGAGGTTGGAAGAAACAGGGTTTTAGACACTATTGATAAAGCATTAGATGC